CTTTCTTTCTTTCTTTCTTTCTTTCTTTCTTTCTTTCTTTCTTTCTCTCTTTCTCTCTTTCTCTCTTTCTCTCTTTCTCTTTCTTTCTTTCCTTTTGTCTCTCTGTCCCTTTTTTCTTTTTTTCTTTCATCTCTCTCTCACTCTTTTTCTTTCTTTTTTCTTTCTTTCCTCCTTCCTTTCTTTCTCTTTCTCTCTCTCTCTGTGTCAGTCTGTCTGTCTCTCTCTGTGTGTCTGTTTGTGTATAGCAGTGGTGAGTTTCAAATTTTTTTGGAACCTCTTCTGTAGGTGTGGCCTGCTTTCCGGGTCCACTGGTGGAACCTCTTCTAACTGGTTCGGTAGATTTGACGAACCGGTTCTACCGAATAGGTGCGAACTGGTAGGAACCCACCTCTGAAGCCATACCACGCCACGCCAAGCCCACCAAACCACGTCCACAGAACCTGTAGTAAAAAAAAGGAATTTCACCACTGGCTCATCTCCTTTGTGGGGTGATAGAGAAATATCTCCACAGTTAAATAAAATCAAATCTTATTTTCAAAAAATGAAAAGAAAAAGCATAAAGACATCTTTTAACTACAAAATTCAGTGGCAGAGGGGAGAAAATAAAATGCTACTGAACTTGTAGGGCTGCAAGGAAGCCAGCATTTTAGATAAATGAATAGATAAAGATATAGAAAAGATAAGGCTTTCAGTTTAAGTAGATCCCAAGATGATCCCAATCTTCTCTATTTAGAATTACCTCTAACACAAAGTAATTCTAGTTTGCCCAAGATTGCAGAGAGATAATAATCTTCAGAAATTTAAACACTGACAAAGAAACTAAGTGTAGTCAGGTTTTTTTTTAACTTTTTCTCATTCCTGTAGGGAATAGATGCACCTTGGAACAGATGTTGTCTTTGTGCAAATCTGTTACATGGAAAATACTTTTTTCTAAAAAACAAACAAAAAAACAACTGTAATCAAGGTTAAAGGATAATCTTATCTCTCTCTTTATTTCTACTCATCTCAATGTACAGCGTTTTTACTTGGGTCCTTCCTGTTGCAGAATTCCTGGAATTTTCAAAAGAACAGTTTCAAAGTACCAGTATGTAAAATTGGGTCTGTTTTGCCAAGATTCTGTTGACAGCAGAGTTGGGTAACTCGTAGGGGGTAGGATCAACTTGGCATTTCTTGGCCACAACAGACTGGTACAACCCATTTCCTACAGTTCTTGAGAATTCCCCAGTAACATCATTTTATTTTCTCCCAGAGAGCCATAATATAATGGCATGGGGCACTGCTCTGTTTAGTGGAGGGACAGAAGTTTGAAACCTGGTCTTTGGAATGGTAGGTAAAGCAGAAAAACTCAAGTGTAGTCATTTTTCAAAAGTTGAGAAAATGGATCTCAGTGGTGTGTCTGTGTGTGTGTGTGTGTGTGTGTGTGTNTATTGTCTTATGTTTTGTCTTGCACTCCCCCTCCCATGAATTGTAAGCCACCCTGAGTCACCTCAGGGAAAAGGGCGGCCTATAAATCACAAATAAAATCTAAAATCTAAAATCTAGTGTCAAGCCCTAGGCTGCCCTCAGCTACCAGCTTATCTCCTGTTTCTGGACATGTCTTTGAAGAACCTTCTCAGCTGCCTGCAGGGCCCTAGATTTCAGAGCAGAGTGCAGCCTAGCCGAGCTTGAAAAGACCTAAAAAATAATTATGAGAAAGTACCGTATTTTTCATTTTACCTTCAATTTCTTCTGTTCGCAGCTTTCGGTCCTAAGGAGAGAACAAGAATAGAAGCCAGTAAAAAGACAAAAAAAGAAACAGTTTGCAACTGATGCTTATTTGAAGGCCTTTGATGTCTGATTCCCCCATCTGTTTGTAACCTTCAGTTGGGCAAAACAGTGAATCAGAAGGAGGACATTTTGCAATGTGCTTTGAGTTAAGGTACCTGAGATGGGCTAATTTAAAGAATGCATGCAGAATCCAGGATCCATTATTCTGACGTAATTGAAATTTCAAGGATCTTTCACCAGCTGTATTAGCAAAGCGGTTGCCACTGTAGTGTTGCTACTGATTGCCACAGTCATTGTGATTGTTATTTCCAACTACACATTCCTGAAAGCCATAGGATGCAAGGAAAAATGAGAGGGACATACCCTTTGCATCCAATTGGCAGCAAAGCCTGACAGAAGATTGGTGATTGGATGCTTTGGAAACAAGGCTGAAATTTAAATTTCTTAGTGGGTGGTGAAGGAAGAATGAGGAGCGAATCAGATGTCTGCTGGTGAAGAAGGGCTGGCAGTGGGGGGTGCTATTGGTCAACGTAGAGTGAGGAGCCCTTGGGGACACACTAGGATGAGGAGCACAGGTGCAAATTACATCACAGTTCAGGACAGTCTTTTTTCCCATTCCTCCTAGCAAAGTTAGCCAAGGTGAAGGAGGACATTTTCCCAGGGTTCTTCTGGGAATCCTGAGGTGGGGGGAGAGAAAGAATGCCAGCCTATATTATAAGTGGAAAGAAGGATAACCCAATTGGTCATGGGTTGTAGTTCCTTTTAAAAATGGGTGTTTTGTGGACACTGACATTGAACAGGTAAAGTATGGTAATATGTTAAAAGGGTTCATCTAGTTGGAGGATAGCCCCAAAGCTGCTATTAAAAGATTGATCTGCTCATTGTGGAGTCTCAAAATGGGAGATTGTTTTTGCCACGAATTAGCAAGTAGCCTTTAGCACAGTGTTTCTCAACCTTGGCAACTTGAAGATGTCTGGACTTCAACTCCCAGAATTCCCCAGCCAGTGAATGATTCTGGGACTTGAAGTCCAGACATCTTCAAGTTGCCAAGGTTGAGAAACACTGCTTTAGCATCTAACCCCAGTAACCTCACTTTCCTCTTTTATGGCATGGAGTAAATATTATGGAATTGTCAGGCATGCAGTAACACAATGTGCATGAAACAGCTGCATATCAATATAGCCTCATTAATTATTAATTAATCTCTCCAGTTTCCGAGCTTTTGACATAGGGGCAATGAAGGACGCTTTTATATATCCAGGGGTTTATAATTTGCATGCAGAAAAAGGTGCTAAGTGGGATTTCCAAAGGAGCAAGAAAACTCTGAAGGTTGAGCTAATTCATAATGGAGCAGTGGGGGAACTCCACAGAGGGTAAGAATCATACCAGCAGGGCAGAGGGTCATTGCGGAAAGTGGAGATATGGTGGCAGCTACAGGAGAAGCAGAGTACGTACGCTCAATGAGATGGCGATGCTCTGACGCAAGAAGATGCAGGCTGGCCCCACCAAGCCATGCAGCATTGAGTAATTCTGCAAAGATGGATACTGTTTGCCATCGACTATTTCATCCAGCTTGCTGTTAGAAGAGGTTGGGGAGTCAAGAGCTTCTGAAGGTTGCTTATTCTCCTTCCCAATAGCCTGCAATTAGGTATGTTTGATTAAAGTCCCTATCCTATCATGCCCGAGGGTTTAAGATTCCTGACTCTTGGGAAATTTTAGGAAAGGAAAGAATGTAATGGAAAGGAAAGAACAGACAGAAAGAAAGGGGGAAAAAGGACAAGAATACAAAAGAAAAACAAGGAATGACAGAGAAATATTACCAGCTGAGAAATACCTTAACATCTGCCAGTTGATGTCAGCCAGCTGATGGTACAGTATATTTCAATCTGCACAACCCTTCAGTGAATCCTTAATGGGAGTCTAAAGTGTTGTTTATAACACCAGTGCAGCAGGGTCCATGCTGGAGTTCAAGCAAGTGTATTTTCCTAATACCATAAATCAGGGGTATCAAACTCATGCCGTCACGGCACCGTCACATGACGAATAGTGACCCCCCCCCCTTCACTAAACCGGGCATGGACGTGGTGAGCACGTAACACATCTAGCCTATGGGCCACCAAGTTTGACACCTCTGCCATAGATGATACTCACGGCACCTACTCAATGCATACACAGGATTTTAGGGAGACTTAGAATACATATTCCACTCTTTCCAAAATGTCATAATGCTGGGATGCATACACCAATACCTCAAGCACAGAAATATAATCCTAACAATAACATCTTTAGAGTAGGTGTGCTCATTTTTCCTAATAATATCTCTGCATTTTGTCCTACATATTGTCCCTACAGATTTAGATTGAATCTCAAAGAATTGTGGTTTGGCGAGGAGGGCAATGAATCTTTAACAGGGCTCTCAGCAAACTATGTTTTTTTCCTAACCAGATGTCCTCCTTCATGTGTGTTGCATTAAAACATCTATACTTTCTATCCAGCATCAGATATAAAAGTTAAACAGAAGTAAAACTGATTTTTAAATTATGTAGTAAAATATTCCTTAAAAGCATTAAAACATGAGTGGTGTAAAAGAATGCCCTAACTCTGAGTACATATTCTTTGCCACATAAGCATACAACTTTCAATTTTCCAAACACTTCCAAAAATGTCCACCAAACCATATATTTCAATTTGACAAAAAGGAGATTATGAAATCATATAGTATGCATATTTACGCAATTCTATACTGAAGCAACATAGACAGAGATAAAAACTGGGCTGACCTGTTCATGAGAGTTTGGGTACAGACCTCCCTCATGCTTTCAAATTTAAAAAACTTTTGGCAGTTTCTCTTTTTTGGTTCTTGTTTAGCTTTGGTTGAATGTCTTCTCTTTATCAAAGATTTTCAAAAGTTACAATTAGAGTGCTTTGGCGATTACATAAACATGACTCTGGACAACAGGCAGAAACTTAAGCCTAGAGATGATGTTACCTAACATGGTAATGAAACATCTGTAGGAAAACAACCAAGAGAACTTCAAGAATCTAAAAATTCAGCCCTGAGCTACATAGATTCTCTACTATTAGACCTAAAAAATTTTTTTCAACATATGTTTTGTTTCCTTCACTGAACAATTCACAATACTCTCTTCCCCTCCATTCTGTTTTCAATGTCACCCTTTCCTTTATTTGATAGTCTAAGCAGTGTACAGAAATGGCACGCAAATACTGGGATACAGGCTGGTTCTTCTCACCTAATCATCAAGAATAGAGATGACCTACCTTGAGCAAATGCAAGAATGTGGGAGTGAGCATAAACAATGGGACCCATTTCCATGAACCAATATTTTCTGGTCCTGGGTTATAACTTGTTCACTCCCTCCACTCACTGGATGCAAGAAATAGATCTGGCTGTTAAACTAAGGATTAAAACATGGAGAAAGAAAAGGGCCATTTTCAGCCTCCTGAATTATTCCAACAATTTGGAGAATTTTTACTTACAGCTAAAGAATCTTGGGGTGATACCTCAAGCCCCGTTAGTCTGAGACAGGGCAAAGCAAAGAGTTTTTTCCACAAACACTCACTAAATAGGGACATTTTGCCGTATTTTCTAAGAGAATTCAGGCCTGAAATCCAGACATTGATGGACAGACATAGTGAAACAAGAAAAGTAGACAAACGTGCTGAAACAGCCACATGCAAGGAACCAGACAGAAAAATGGGAATGCAACAGGATGAGGGAGGGGCCCCCCACCCCTCCATCTTTTTCTCCCTACCTTGGAGAGCCGCTTGCCAAGGGTTTTGGTGCAGTTGCCCATGGCTTCTAAAGCCCCCCCATCCCACAGAGCAGAGCATTGGGTTGCAGGCAGCTGGCGCGGATGGCAGTGGGTTTTTTATAGTAACAAGTGATTCTCTTCTAGGAGGTTTAGTCTCTTTGAGGATTTTCAGGGTTTTTATTGTTGAATATATCTAGAATATTAAGGGAAAGTAAATGGAGGGGGAAAGGCGTAGAATAGTACCATAATCCTCAGGATTATGCAAAACTCAATAATAGATGGTGCTGAAACAGAGGATGGAGGGGCAAGCAGGCATCTCTTCCTCTGAGCGCAGCAGTATCCCAGGAAGGAAACATTATCCATAGTTTGTTCCTCTTACCTCCTTCCAAAAACCCATCAGGAGAGTCCCTGGCCCATAAACTTCTCCCCCCTCTCTCTGACAGAGTATATGTGGCTATAATCTTCTCTGTGACAATTATCTATATTTTGAAATCTTTGCAATAAGGATGGACTACTTCCACTGAGTATAGATGTGGTAGCCCTATCAGCATCATTGGGCGTACAAGGTAGCACACGCATCACCAAGAGTGTCAGTCAAATGTATCAACTGGCACAAGATCCGAAAGAGCTAGTAAAATCCACTGTATTTAGACACTCAACCCAAGGCCATTCTCACTGCAGCTGAACATCTGTTAGAAATAACACTAATTCAGGACAGAAATTGGGAGAGAGATATTGCAAATGGAAAAGCAATATCTTGTCTAAACAATTCCACAGTGAGAAATAAAACTACAATTGTAGCATTTATGAAAATTGGTACAACTCAAGAGCTTATTTTAAAAGCGTATTTGGGGTCATACAATCTGATCAACTTTTGTGAGTCATAAAGGCATGCAGAGAAATTCAGGCTTGTTTGTTTAAGTATTTAAGGCCTTTCTAACACAAAGTAGTCTTCCCCAGCTTATTGAAAATTCAAATATAACACAGGTTTAGATTAGAAAAAATAGAAAGCTTTAAGGGTGGAAGTGTTATACCACAGCAATCACATTCATTGATTACATTCATGGCATTACAGTCTTCTCAAAGGAGCAAACATAATATAGCCAAAATATGATCATTTCAGCCAAATCACTTGTGCCTCAAGTGAGAAGTCTGGGTTGATTTACCCCTGGTTTTCTCAGTAAACTTCTCCAACCACAACATTTAAAAGCATCAGTACTCTTTCTATCTTGCTTCTTCAAAATCTGACTTTCATTTCCACAGGGTGTTACAGAGAAAGCCATTGCCTGCTCAGTTCTAATCATTGCAGGTATAGACACATCCTGGAATCTGAATTTTTTTTTCATAAAATAGGCTTTATTGCTACTTTACTAAGGCTAGTTTGAGGCTGTCAGCCTTGTTAAGTTGATCAGACAGGAAACATGACCAGATGAACTAAGTCTAGTTTATTGTAAGGTTAGCAGAATCTTGCACGTCTGAAAGTACAAATCTCCCACCATCTCTTTTACAGTCTGAGAAGTTAGGAAGGTTCTTTTACTAAGTCTTTTCACATTATGCAGCTGTGGGCTATGCTCCCTCTTATCTGATCATTCCCTAGACAGTATCTCTTCTCCAATCTCTCAAAGTCATTTCCTCATAAGATTACAGAGGCACATTTCTTAATTGTTGGATCCTTTACTATTGATTCAGTAGATCTTAGATTATTCATCAAAAAGTAGAATTTCAGATGTATTGGTATCCATTGTATTTGTATAGGAAAAGAATGAAAGAATATGTGCTTTTTGGAGATGTCATAAAAATAACATTTTATTGTGTGTTTTGCAATGCCCTAAAGTTAGCATGTTCTATGAGAAATAATCACATACATTAACTTGATTTTGAGACAACAGATCAATCAGTAATTCAATGTGCAGTCATTTTATTCAGATTTTAGATGAGCTTGTTCAAGTTTGGATATGTTTTTTTCAGGAGATGATATATGGTTTTCAGGAAGCATAGGACCCCAGGGGACGTCAATAAGGAAGCTTCACATATCACCCCATTTTTAGACTGCATGAAGCAGGTAAATCTGGTTTTCCAAGAAAATCAAGAAACACAAGAAAACCAAGAAAAAAAACCAGCATGAATACATAAAGAACTTTTTGACCAATTGAAAGAAAAAAAGGGATAAGTACTAAAAATGGAAAGAAGATCAAATAACTAAAGCAGAGTACCAACAAATTGCCTGAACCTGCAAAAATGAACTTAGGAAAGCTAAGGTGCAGAAGGAATTAAACTTACAACAAATTTCAAAACAATAAAAAAAAGTTTATTTCAACACATAAAAAACAAGAAAAGTGAAAAAAACACACCAATTGATCCACTAATGGGATGAATTGCAAGAAAGTAATAGGCAGTAGAGAGAAAGCATGACTGCTTAATTCATTCTTTACATCTGTCTTCACTCAAAAAGAAAATACAAACCAACTTACCAAAAACAAAACCATAAAAGACAGGCTAGGAATGCAAATTAAAATATGATAAGCAAAAATAAGATAAGAGAACACCTGTCAGCTCTAGGTAGATTCAAATCTCAGGGTCCTGATGGATTACATCCCAGTTTTTTGAAAGAACTGGCAGATGTGAACTCAGAACCTTTGAACCATATCTTCAGTGTCCTTGGAACATAGGGGAACTACCTGAGGGCTGTAAAAATGTTGATGTGGTTCCCATCGTCAAAAAAATTGGGGGGGGGGGGACCAGATCCAGGAAATTACAGACCAATCAGCCTGACATCAATACCCGGAAAGATCTTGGAAAAGATAATCAAGCAACAAATCTCTGAACATTTAGTAAACTTAAAGTTATAATCAGTTGTCAACATGGGTTTATCAAAAACAAGACTTATTTTATTCTTTGACAAAGTGACTAAATTAGATGATCAGGGAAAAGCCATACAGTATATAGTTAAATTTTAGTAAGGCATTTGATAAAGGCATTTGACAACATATTCTTGGTAAGCTAGAATAGACAGCATCACCACCAGATGGATTTGTAACTGGCTGACAAACCATATTCAACATGTAGTCCTCAACAAAACTACATCCATATGGAGGGAACGAAGTCGTGCAATTCCCCAAGGTTCAGTTTTAGGCCCAGTACTCTTCAATATCTTCATGAACAATCTAGATGAGGGAATAGAAGGGAACTCATCAAATTTGCAGATGACACTAAGCTTGCAGGAATAGCCAACACCCCAGAAGATAGGCTAAAGATCCTGTTGGATCTCAACAGAATTGAACATTGGGCCCTGTCTAACAAAATGAAATTCAATGTAGAGAAAAGTAAGGTTTACACACAGTCAAGAAAAACCAACTGTACAGGTACTTGGTTCAATGCCAGTAACTGTGAGAGTGATCTTGGAGTCCAAGTGGACAATCACTTAAAAATAAGCCAATAGTAGCAGCTGCATCCAGTTTTGGTCACCACAATATTAAAAATATGTTGAGACTCTGGAAAGTGAAGAAAAGAGCAGCAAAGAGGATTAGGGAGCTGGAGACTAAGACACATGAACAATGGTTGCAGGAATTGGATATGTCTAGTCTAGTGAAAAAGATTAGGGGTGATAGGATAGCAGTGCTCCAGTATCTGAAGGACTGTCACAAACGGGGTGGGGGTGGGGGGTGGAGACTATTTATCAAAGCACCAGAAGGCAAGACAAGGACCACTGGAAGGAAACTAATCAAGGAGAGAAGTAACCTAGAACTAAGGAGAAATTTCCTAACAGAAAAATTCAGCCTTTCCTTCAGAAGTTGTGGAGGTTTCCATTGGAGGTTTTCAAGAAGAGACTGGACAGCCACTTGTCTGGAATGGTATAGACCAGTGATGGCTAACCTTTTTGGTGCCGAGTGCCCAAAGCGCATGCGTACAACCCCAAAATGCAATGCAGGTGCCCACATACACACGCATCCCCCACACATGCGCCCCACCTTCACTTTGTCCCATTTTGACTTCCAGGTTAGTGCAGCAGGCTTTCCAAGGCCAAAACAGGACATGGGGGCGCCTTGCACAGCCCCCCCTTGCCCTGTTTTGGCTTCTAGGTTGGTGCAGGAGGCCTTCCAGGCCCAAAACGGGGTGCAGGGGGAGCGCATACATACACATGAACCACCGAAATGCAATGCGAGCGTCCCCACACATGCATTCTGCCCCCCACGTATGTGCGCATGTGTTCCCCACATGCGCCCTGCCCCCCCCCACATATGCTGCAGAGGCCCAAAAACCAGCAGGCCGGCAGGAGGCGTGCGTGCATGTGCGCTGGAGCTAGGCTGGGGCAACGGCTGGTGTGCCCACAGAGAGGCCTCTGCATGCCACAGGTTCGCCATCACGGGTATAGACACTCCAGCTTGTGCAGGGAGTTGGACTAGGTGATCTCCAAGGTCCCTTCCAAATGTTATTCTGTGTTCTAACTCTCTACCTATTGCCAACCATCCACGAGTCATGTACTATTGATAAACTACAACCTGTTCATACCAGCACTGTGTCAATCCAGTGTCTAACAAGTCATCTGAATCCAGCCCCTCTATTTCCCATTTAGTGCTGTAGCTAAATACAGGTAATCCTCATTTAGCAACCCTAATGAGACTGGTAACTTGGTTGTTAAGTGAAGTAGTCACTAAGTGAAACTGCAACTGAGTATATGATCAGCTTTCCTTTGTTTTATAGACCCGCAAAGGTTGTAAATGAGACGATTGGTGAAAAGTCACTTTTTCATCACAGCAAATGATTGCTGTGTGAGGCAGTTGCTAAATGAGGACCATCTATACTACTTTCCCCTTTGCTTTAGCGTCATGTTGTTCATTTTAAAGGCAAAATTGTGACATGAATTGTTGATCTGACAGCCAAATCCACCACCCCTTTGTCATTGGTGTTATTAAATTATAAAAATTGATACAATTCCTCAGGTCTTATTGGGCCTACATGTCCAGAGTTACATTTTACCACGATCTGTTCCTCAAAGAATAATGACCTTTTGCAAGCCTTTTAAAACCATGGCAGAATGGAAA